TGTGTGTGTGTGTGTGTGTGTGTGTGTGTGTGTGTGTGTGTGTGTGTGTGTGTGTGTGTGTGTGTGTGTGTGTGTGTGTGTGTGTGTGTGTGTGTGTGTTGTGTGTGTGTGTGTGTTGTGTGTGTGTGTGTGTGTGTGTGTGTGTGTGTGTGTGTGTGTGTGTGTATATATATATATATATATCTTTCTATCTATCTATCTATATATCTATATATCTAATACTTATATCTATCTATCTATCTATCTATCTATCTCTATATATATATGTGTGTGTGTGTGTGTGTGTGTGTGTGTGTGTGTGTGTGTGTGTGTGTGTGTGTGTGTGTGTGTGTGTGTGTGTGTGTGTGTGTGTGTGTGTGTGTGTGTGTGTGTGTGTGTGTGTGTGTGTGTGTGTGTACCGTTATGATTATGGCTGGTGTCCATGCGCTACTCTTATTACTGATTATTAAAACAATATCAATATAATCGTCCTTGTAATAGATATGTTGCGTTTATTTTAACAGCAGTCACCCATTCTATTATTATTATTATTATTTTGTTCTTGTTTTGAATGAAGTCCTTTTATGTTTGTAGATGCTTATAAAATGATCGTAATGAGTGATATCCTTATCAATAATATTATAATATCATGATACTCCCTCTATGATTTTTTCAGCAATATCAGTGTCATTATCATAAGCATGACGCTAAGTCTCGAATTTACTCTTAATCTTTATCATAATCACGGTTAATATTAGTCTTATGATAATATTCTTCTTATTTTGCTATACGTTTTTGAATAGTTTGTTTTGCTTGTTTTCCTTTTGGTCCAGTTTCAGTTACAGTATTATTGTAGTTTTTTCTCTCTCATCCGTCATTATTCAGTTATCTGTTGTGAATATTGCCAAGGTTATCATCATAAGAATTCCATAATTCATTATTTTCTCAAAAGTCTTTACGCTGTCATACGTAAATTTACTATTATTTTATAAATACAAATAACTAATTTCAATACTCTCATAATTTGTGTCACTGTCATTTTTCAGTTTTATCAGTTTCTTAGCTGTTTAACATTGTTTAATACCGATTTTCATACTGAAAAGTAAATGCCCAAGTAATCACACAACTCCTCAGGCATAGAAATAATAATAATAAAAATGTCCCCTTCCTAGTTTATTGAAAAGATCTGTTATTTCAGAAAACAGCCTCTGATATGAATTTAGTAATAATCTTCTCTATGTCGTGTAGTTAGATATATAATACTGCTATAATTTGGAAAATGAAATGGTTTCATTGTGTATTGTTCACTGAATATAATAATTTTCATGATAGTATGTTATTCTTTTAGTAATTCCCTTTCTAATACCAGTCAACTTTTTTGTCTTAATGTATTCATTTCTTTTTGGTCAGATCAGATAATTTCAGTGATTAATGTTATCTTTATACAAGCAATACTTTCCCCATTCAGTTTTCTGTTCCTTTATGTGCACTTTCTTCTTTGGTATATCCTTTGCGTTTATTTTACTGACACTGCCTTTGTTCATTCCGCAAAGATGGAAAGAGCTTTTCACTGAACCACAATTTTTATAAACCTTTTTTGTTATCCGTTTTTTTTTTTTTTTTTTTTTTTTGTGGGATGAGGTCTGTAACTTCACTTTGTTGCACACCAATGCGCTATCCTCCAAGAAATAGGTTTTGACATAAAATTCCAGCTTAGTGGTTGTACACAAATAGCCTCCGAAAGATGGACATGCTAAGGAAGCCCTTTCATCAAGTATATATTTACCAACTAATATTTTCTAAAAGAATCGTTATCATGATTAATCTTACTGCTATTTTCACTATCATAATACATGACTATAGTTATTGTCATTTCATCATCTTTTACAATTAATCAGTCATTACTGTTGTAGCACATTGCCAATTCTGTCTATCTAGGGAAGGTTGGAAGGCAATAAAAGTATGGAAAATTCCACTCCAGATACTTTATTTTCATTTATTGTAACTTTACAATTGGAAGCTCAAGAGAGGAAAACGCAATAATTTACAAATAGGGACTTGAACTGTACAAAAACAAGTAACTCAGTATTAGCATAGAGCGCAGTGTAGAGAACGCACTGCTTGTATACAGGTTCCTAGAAAGTACTTCGTGGTGTTGCATATTTTTCAATATCCAAACACTGACACAAATAATTTAATACAAACATAAAAATTGAAAATGTACTGAAGTTCACCAAGGCTGTTCACAATCACCGCAACACTAGAGTTCCACAGACTGCATTTGCATTGTGTTCAGTTTTACACACAGTATCTTGCACGAACAACGCCTCCAGACACACACGGGTGTACACCTCGATGAACTCTTTGTATACACTGAAGCTTGGGTGTAGAGGGATGTACACAGGCTCCGTGAGAGGAACAGTGTAGCACGATATACTGATATACTTCTTAATATACCTCACTGGGGTGTACAGGAATGATTGAGAGGGGGGTGGGGGGTCGTATTCGGCTAAGCTCCAGAGAAAAATAAAGTAACAGGTAAATTAATAAAAAGACAGGTAACAGAACTTAACAATAACCCGAATCAAGGTCATTGGAAGTTTGGCAAAGGAGAGTTCTTAATCATTTAAAATTCAAATCTTTGATTTGAAGATTTAAGCTTCGAAAGAACATAAATATTAAGGAAATGGTACCAAGATTAGGTCCAATTATAGCAAGATATACACAGATCAATTTATAAAGATTCATATTTCAGGGAGATCCCCATTTACTTCATTAGAAATTCCATATTACGTATATTATTGAAAAGTTGAATTGGCACTTGGACACTCGAGTTTGGACTGTCAAAATCTTATTAGCATGTCGCAAACGTGACTTCCGGCGGCGCTCTACCTGGTCCCTCAGCATGGAGGTAGAGGCCTCCCGTATACTCAGAGCGGCGATCTACTCGGTCACTCAGCACGCAAGTAGAGGCCCAGCAATAACGCTGAGGAAATTGTTTCAAGACCTTCCAGAGAAAGTAAAATCCTGTCTCGCCTCAACGCAGAGCAGCGTCGTACGGTTTATCTATTTAAGTACACACAGGCCAATGTAAATATTAACAAGATCAACAACCCAGGGGGAGTAAATTACATATCACATGAGAAATAAAGACAGCTTATAAAAATATTAATGTACAAAGAATCCATGTAACAATATTACAATTTAAACCGAGAAGTGATACGTCATGGAGGAAGAAGACTGAAGGAACGCGTCCAGCTTCCTCGTCCACACAACCTACTGAACTATACATTTTTTTATTTTTCTGCTTTAATATGCCATCAACCTCCACTAAACCCGCCTCTGCAGTCTCTTGTCATATACATTTATTTTCTCCACTTTATTTCTGTGCCTCCAACACATCATGGGAAATTGTGTCCTACTGATTACGTCTCTGTACAAAGGGTGGCTCTGCCGTCCCACCTCTCCAACATAGTCTCTCCATGAGGCGCATGGCCTCTCCAACACGCCTTCGCTTCACTCCCTTACTCCTCGTCTTCGTCTGTCCTTTTGCTCCACCACGTCTAAATCCAGGAAGTTTAAATACAATACATATATTCAATATATGTTACGTACTATGTATAGTACACAACAACATCATATAGATATGAAAAGTCATTTACAACCAATTGCTTATAGCGATTGTAATCATACAAGGAACAGATTTATTCCAGAAAATCTGGGATTTAGTAGTAGACGCTCCTATAATCCAGCCGCTTACTGTGGTTCTTAAAAATAACCTCAGTTCAATTGATCGTAAGGGGGAAAGGGGCGCTGGACCTTCTCTCGGTCGGCCAATCTAGGTGCAACAATGCAAGCGAGACCTTCTGCAGCAGGATCTCGCATTACACTTCTCTTCTGTTCGGTCTCGCAGAAACTCGTCACTGCAACGAGGATCAAGAAGGCTTCGCTTCGCTCTCACTCGCACGGGTGTTGTCAGGAGGCATGAGAGGGATGTGTTGAGTTGGGTCGCTGGTGGCTTGAGGTAGGATGCCATACGGTGGAAGGGGCGGGGTTTAGGACCAGGCTTGTGGTTGAAAGGAATGTTGCAAATGTCTGGAAAGGACAGCATGCTTGAGTTAAGGAGCAAGAGTCTCGCAAGGGCCTCGGACGTCTCACTACGCACGGCTGCGCGTCTTGTAACTCCAGCCCGCTGCTAAATCACGCTTGACAACCCCTGATTACCACGGGATGCGAAGGGCTTGACGAGTGTGCTCTGGCTTACTCCTCCGCCCTTTGTATTGCTGGCAGCATGTATCATTCTAAAATTAGCCCCGCCGGCACCGCCTTAGCAACCCACGGACACGCTTCATCCGCGAGATGTGATTGTGATCACCGCGTCGCAGCATTATCGTGCCTCCGCCACTCTGAGGATCGTATGTCATATGATAAAGCCCGGTGATCGTTCGCTCGCCGCCGCTCCAGGCCTTGGCCGGTTGTATGGAAGGCCTGAGGTGACCCGCGTTCGGCTGCTGCGCAATTAAACATCACACCGAATAATTAGATGCGTTTATCGCACTCGTCATTGGCGATATTGGTTATTTATCAATTCCAACGGAAATTACTTGTGGAATTACATTTACGTATATTCTATGCGTGCATTTTTATTGCGTGTATATGTATTGTAGATGTGTATATTTAGGTGTGTACATGTATATATTCATTCATACATACATACATACATACATATATATATATATATATATATATATATATATATATATATTTGTACAAATACATATGCATTGAGTAATATATACATATGTATGCAGGGTGTGTGTGTGTGTGTGTGTGTGTGTGTGTGTGTGTGTGTGTGTGTGTGTGTGTGTGTGTGTGTGTGTGTGTGTGTGTGTGTGTGTGTGTGTGTGTGTGTGTGTGTGTGTGTGTGTGTGTGTGTGTGATATATATATATATATATATAATATATATATATATATATATATATATATATATATATATATATATATATATATATATCAATGTATCTTCTCCCCCTCTCTGTGCGCAGCGAGACAGTCAAACGCTGACGGGGCAGCCGGCGCTTCCCGCGCACACGGCGAGCAGCGCAGCCGCCCCGTCGAGGGCTCGAGTGTGCAGTTGAGCCGCGCGGATGATGGACTCTCGCGATCCGCACTCGCAGATGATTGATGTGAAACATATCTGGCTGGCTTGCCTTTGAGAGCGCCGGGTTCGCGCCTCGAATCGTGAAACTCATTTGAGATAGGCGGCATCTCATTAGGGGTGAATTATCTGGCGCCCTGGCTGAGCGGGGGCGGGGCGGCCGAGCAGACGGCGAAACCGGCGCGGCTTCGTCGACGTCGGCCCGGCACACTCACGGGCGAAAACGAAGCTAGAGTTCTAAGGTGGACTAATACTGTCTACTTACGAGGTGGCGGGGAAGGGTGACACTTAACTAGCTACTCCGTTTGGTAATACTGTATAGCGAAAGATGGAACTTAGAGGGGGTGGGTGGGGGGGTGGGGTTACGAGTGCCTTAGGCTGGAGTTCGGGATATCAAGGGTCTCTCTATATGGTCTTAGACGTCACAGGGAGCGGGGAGGGGGTGGGGAGGGAAGGGTGTGTGCGTGGCATGGCCTTGCAGTGGAAGTGGTGGTGGTAGTGGTGATAATGGTGGTAGTGGTGGCGGGCCAGGCTGGTGCAGCAAGGTGAAGCTGTTGGTGGTGTTAGGAGGCCATGCTGGCGGTGCAAGTGCTAGTGACAGGCCACACTGGAGGTTGCGAGAGGCGAGGCCAGATTGGAGGTACTGGGAGGTCGGGTTAGTGATGGTGGTAGTGACAACGCTGCTCACGTGAGGCTGCAGGCCGGGGTGGGGGGGGGATACCAAGCCTCAACGATCTGTCTGTTGGTCTGGCGTATCTTTACACTAGGAATAAAAAGCATTGAGATCACTTTCAGCAAGTCAAAGACAGCATATTGTAAAAAGGATGATATTGATATATCACTGATGTTTTCCAAATGATTATCAACAATCAATTTGATCATTGCCTTGTCAGCTTAATCTTATCATGTCTATATATTAATAACTATGTGAAAAAGTGACAGCAAGTGTGAGCGATTAAGAGTTTGCGACGGCCCGCGACAATCATATTGTCTCGGGCGTGAGGATACACAGCGTGAGGCGGGGGCGCACCGGGGCATGGGGGCGCCGCGCCCTCTCCGCAGCCGCCTGCAGGCCCCTGACACCTCGAGTGCCAGGGCCAGCAGTGGACGCGGGCTCCCTCGCTACTACGGGCGTGGCCACAACCCAGCCCGCCCACAACACACACTTTGTACTCTGCGGGTTGTTTTGATTGTTGGCACGTGTCTTTCCTGCGGGCGGGGACGGGAGCAGCGCCCGCCGGTAGTGACGGTCCCGGGCGGCGGGTGATATGAGAGGACCCCGGCCGCCCCTGCCTCGGCCTGCCAGGTATCACAAGACTAAAGGGGCCACCAAGCTCTCACGAAGGATAAATAGTTACACTGTACACACGAGCCACGCCGCGCTGTTCACGGGCGGGCGGGGGCGGGGGTCTTTGGCGGCGCGGGTGGGGGAGTGGGGGGAGGGGCGGCCACCCCAGGGCGGCGGCCGACACTACTTGCTGGAGAGCTGCTTGGCCAGCTCCGTGTACTTGAGGAACTTGGAGTGAGGCGAGTCGTCCACGGGAGGCGCGGGGGGCGTGGCCGCCTTACTCCCGCTCGAGGGCGGCTTCGTGTTGTTCGTCTTGCCCCCGGCGTTCTCCGGCATGGCGCCGTCCTTCACGAAATGCATCTTCGACAGGTGGTGTCGGTAGGCGCCCTTGCTGATGAAGGGCGTGTCACAGAATGCACACTTCATAATGCTGTCGGCTGTGACGGCGTCGTTGCATGCCCAGGAAAAAGCCAGGATGGCCCCGGGGTTCGTCTGGGGCCCTGTCGACGCCCCGCTCACTGGCGGAGGCCGCGGCTGCGTCTCGGTCTTGTCGCACAGCTTCTGCAGCGCCGCCAAAGGGTGCGAGGACGAGCCTTCGCCGCCGCCTCCGAGCAGGGCGGAGAGGCCTCCAAGCCCCGAGGCTCCGAGGCCAGAGCCAGACCTCCCCACGCTGGCCTCTGAGTGGGGTGTACCAGACCTGCTGCTGCAGCCTGCTGGCGATCCCATGAGCCTGCCTGAAGGAGACTCGCGACCTGCCTCGGGAGATTCGTTATCCTCCTCGTCATCCCCTTCCTCCTTTAACTTGAACTCCTCTTTCACCCGTATTTCCTCCTTCACTCTCACCTCCTCCCTGGCGGAGACGGACTCGCGGTCGCTGATCTCGCCGTTGGTCTCGACCGGCTCCTGCTTGACCTCCTCCCGGCCGCAGAGGCTCTCCTGCTCGTTGTCAGAGTGGTCGGCGCCGTTCTCCGTGGGGGCCAGCTCCTCGGGCGTGGCGGCCTGGTTGCTGTCGAGCCGCAGCATCTCCAAGGAGCGCTCGCTTGCACTGCCGTCCCGAGTTATGGATCCTGCGGAGGCGGGGCGCGAGCCAGGGCGTGACCCGGGCCGCGAGGGTGACCGCGGGAATGTGTCACGAGTATCAGAGTCTGCGCTCGGGCTCATCATGGAGTCGCCGATGCCTCGCACGCCCGCGCCTCTGTCGCCGGAGCCGAAGGAAGGTGGGAGATTGAAGGTAGAGGGAGCACCGGCTCCGAGCGGCGGGCCTCCGTGCAGGCGGGAGAACGTGGCGTACATGCCGACCAGCTGAGGGTCCATCAGCGGCTTGGAATAGTCGACGCTCTCGTCAATGCCAAGCCGGCGGAGAATGCTCGATCCCAGAGGTCCTGCTCCAGGTTTTGCCTTGCCAGAATCAAAACTTTTTTCGATCAATTTTTCGAGCGCATTTAATACCGAAGGCGACTCGGAGTCCCCGCGCCCCTTGGGCTTGTCGAAGTCTTTTTCCCTGGGGCTGTCGCGAGGGGTTTTCTCCGGCGTCTTCTTGCCTTCGCTGTCAGTCTCCGGAGCGGAGTCGAGTTTGTTACTATAGTCGCTGTCGGGGGAGAGGAGTGCGGACTTGAGCAGGTCCCGGCTGGAGGCTCCGACGCAGTTCCGGATGTGGTCCACAAACAGTGAAGTGTCGATTTTGTCCCCGCACTTTTCGCACGTGATGCGTCCGGATCCAGGCTGGTCCTTCCCAAACCTCCCGCTGTCCGACTGTGTGCGCAGCTCCTGCTGTGCGCGCTCCAGTTCCAGCAGCTTGCGCACAGGCAGGGATTTCTTGCGCTTTTCGCGTGTGCTCTGCCTTCGCCGGGCCCCCGACTCTGTGATTGAACGCATTATATGCTCCTTGTAGTGGGCATTTTTCACCATGTGATTGCTGAGTTCCTTGAGCGATGAGAATGCCTGGTCACACACCTTGCAGGTGAGCACCGCGTTGACGTGGCTCTGACTGCTGGACTTCTCCTCGGGGGATTTCCATGAGATGATCTGCTCCTGAGAGATTATGTTAGTGTAGTGCTGTGTTTGCTGCATGTGCTGTGTCATTTCCGCGAGAGACTTGAAGCTCTGGCCGCACCACATACACTTGAGGATCTGGCGGGTCTGCTCGGCGCCCTTGCCCAGCCACACGTCCTGGCCGCGCACCAGCTTGCGGGGCAGCGGCATCGTCTCCTTGATGCTCGACATCAGGTCGCTCGAGGACGAGGAGCCGGAAGCAGCCGAGGAAGAGGAGGAGGGGGGCTTCGACGAGGGCATCTTGGTGGGCGTATACTGGGGCGGGAGGTGGGTGTTGACCGACGAGGCGCTGGAAGAGGGGGGCGGGATGGGCGGAGGGAGGTTCACCCCGCAGTGTTTAGCCTCTTTCATGTGAGTCGTGAGCTCTGCCAGTGTGTTGAAGGAGGCCTTGCACCAGACACACTTGAGCACGTCCTTCGTGGCGTCCTGGCCCTTGCTGAGCCAGTGACTCTGCCAGGCGGTGGCCCGGCCGGAGCTCCCGCTCAGGTTGCCTCTGAAAAGGTCTAGTCCGCTGTCGCCGCCGAGCTTGCTCAGCTCGCTCATCCTCTCCAGAGCTCTAGACGCCTCAGAGGGCGTGGGAGGCAGGGCGCCCATGGGGAATGGTGGAAGCTTTGTGGAAGTACTGTCCCCTTTAAGCTTGCCATTCCAGAGAGCCAGATCGGGCTTGAGTGACGCTAGGTCAGGTCTGAGGGCCATGGCCGAAGCCAGGTGTGGGGGCAGGGGGATGCCCCAGGCCCCAAGGTTCTTAGCCAAGTCGTGATGGATCTTTCCCTGGGCAGCCTCCAGAAGGGCATCTGCTGCACGCTTTCGGGGCACCGACAAATCCAGAGGCGAGTCCCCCAGGCGGTGGAAGCCGGGGGGCGGCGAGCCAGCCATGGAGGAGCCGACGGAGAGGTTGAGGAGGTCCTCCCTGGAGGGGGCGGGCGAGCGCCGGAGGGAGAAGTCGAGAATGTCAGCCTCGTTGTCGGATCCTCGCATGAAGGAGGGCGAGGACACGATCGGGCGCATTGTCGGGGGCGTGGCGCGGGGGGACATGAAGGGCGCTGGCGAGGAGTTGAGGGACTCCCGCGGCGAGTGGCGGGGGGACATCTTGGGGGACAGCCCCTCGCGAGACGTCACACTTCCGCTGTCCCTGCAAAGAATCCAAAGGCGCGTTTAACCGGGCGAAATCGAAACCTTGAAGTATTAAAGAAAAAAATGGTGAATTTCGAACATACACAGCATGAAAACAACAGAGCTGAGAAACTAGAACTGGAAAGGTCTTTACCTGCAGTGTCTGGGGCTGGAGCCTGGGGACTCTCCTTCCTCACCGTCGCCGGGCATCTCCTTGCCCTCGCCCTCTTCCCCTGCAACAGAAAGCGATCTCGTTAGATTATCTTCGCTAGCCTCGACTGCGAATGTGACACACACTGTCACTACATTCCAAAATAATATCAATAGTTGACAGAACAGAGATCAACAATACTGATAACGCCAAAATAAAACAGACAAAAGAAATTTCATAACATATAATACATGACA